GGCGGGTCGTGGGGCGTGGAAACGGGATGCGTGGGCTTGGAGCCACTAGCACAGCCGGAGTGAGACTGACACGGAGAATGTGGCCCATGTCTTTCAACCGCACCCAAGGGAGCTGTTGAATGGGACCCAGATTGCTGTGCCTGCCTTGACCAGAAGCACAAGAAAAGATGACCACGAAGGCTCTTTTGAAGCAGCATGGGCTAGGCCACCTATCATATTTTCAAGCTTTTCAACAGACCTGGCGGCAACCCAGTTGAAGTCATTTTCTTGCCTTAACCTAGCTGGGCCTAGACTCAGGGTCCCTGGGTGGGGCAGATGGTGAACAAGCTTGGCTTCTGGCTAAAAGGTGGGCAGTTCGAATACACCCTAGGCTGTTCCTGAAGAAAAGTCTAGGGACCACCTCCCAGAAGTCCTGGAAGGCCCCGTGGGGCAGACTTCTCCCAGGACACACACTGGGGTCGGCATGAGTCAGCAGTGACTCGGAATTAATTGGTTACTGGTTGGTCTGATGCAGCAAAGTCCCCCCAGCGTACCAAGGAGGTCATTCTGGGGCAGCCACTTGACGAGTTTCGTGTTCTTGGCCAGGTTAGATGGCCTGGGTCCGGTGTACCGCCACAGGACCTTGAAGAGAGCACAAAAGAGGAAAGAGGTTTGAAAGGTTGCACGTGAGTGATGGATGTTTACCCTGGCTAGAATGGCTACACAAGGAGGCCTGGGAGCGTAGTGGTTACGAGTTGGGCCACGATGCAAAAGGATGGCTGTTGAAACCAGACGGGGCTTTCGACTCCTGTGAAGAGCTGCATTCTGGGAATCTCACAGGGGGCAGTTCTACCCTGTCCTACAGGGTTGCCATGAGTAGGCCAGGAATTTGAGAATAGCTAGAAGTCAGGGTTTTCTGAGCAAGGACGATTCCTACAGGGGTGGGAGAGGTCGCGAGCAGGAGGGCTCCATTCTGTTTCTTACTCCAGGGCTCAGGCACCTAGGTGTTCGTGCGAGGGACAAGGGAACAACAAGTGATCGAAAATTGATGGCGAGGAGGGTGTAGGAATCCTGGTAGGGCTTCATCAAGGGCAATGTAACCGAGAGGAATTACTGAAACCCAAATGAAGGCTGAGCATGATAGTAGGACAAGAGGAAAGTGAAAGGAAATAGAGGAAAGAACTAGGAGGCAAAGGACATTTTGGAGGTCTAAATACAGGCATGTACATATGTAAACATTTATATATGACGAGAGGGAAATCTATGTGCATATATTTATAGGTTTAGTATTAAGAGAGCAGATGGACATTGGGCCTCCACTCAAGTACTCCCTGAATGCAAGAACACTCTGTTCTATTAAACTGGCATTCCATGATGTTCACCTTCTGGACACGATTGCTGAAGACAAAGCAGGTGCATAAGTAAATATGAAGAAAGCTGATGGTGCCCGGCTACCAAAAGATATAGTGTCTAGGGTTTTAAAGACTTGAAGGTAAACAAGCGGTCACCTAGCTGAGGAGCAACAAAGCCCACATGGAAGAAGCACACCAGCCCGGGTGATCACGAGGAGTCAAAGGGATCAGGTATCAGGCATCAAAGAACAAAAAAATCATATCATTGTGAAAGAGGGGGAGTGTAGAGTGGAGACACAAAGCCCGTCTGTAGGCAACTGGACATCCCCTTACAGAATGGTCTTGGGGAGGAGACGAGCCAGTCAGGGTGCAGTATAGCAT